TCAAACGTTTGAACGTTTTGTAAACGTACAGCAAAAGGAAAATTTATTTATAATTTGTGAATAATTAAATGTTCGTATAAAAGGAGGGTGGATGGGACGTCGTGGTTAGGGTGGGTCTCCAATTCGCAGCAACCTCCAAGTCGGTGAGACCCGGAAATCATATTTATTTAATATACGATATATAGTTATATCATTGTATTGCTACTATCGATGATGCAATTATATATTTTATAAGAAATAATATATGAGCTAATTGGCTGCGTGCGCGATTATGTTTTTGGTATTATATTGTGGTATTTAAAATTTGAAATTTTAAGATTTTTTTTTTTATGTTTAAAAAATATGTTTTACGTAATTGAAATGTAGAATACTAGATGGTGCTGTTGTAATTTTCTTGGTTGGTTTTTAAATCATATTTTATTAAGATCCGTAAGATGTCGCATCAATTCGTTTCTCGTCAGTAATTCTTTTTTACGTTCTTCTAACATTCTGGTGATGGCGCTAATTTCCAAATTTCTATCGTTTGTGAATATATTTTAATTTATTTTTGTATTTTTATCTTTGTAATTATCAATATTTTATATTTTTGTGATAATATATTATGTTGATATATGTTCGAAGTAATATATCTATGTCTCGTATAATTATAAACAATTTGATTATGATATGGCATGTTAAGTTTTTCTTAACATTTTTTGTTTTTTATTTTGCGAAGCACTAGTGATTGAATGTTTTGTAAATCTAAGCAATATTCATGGGTAATATTTCTTCATATTTTTAATTGTTTTGTTAATAATAAATTAATTTTAGAATATATTGCATTTTACAATTTAGAATATGTCGTCTATTGGTCTATTATTAATTTGTTAGCTTATTATTAAATTATAGGAGACCAGATTTCTTTTTGGGATCTGAATCAATAAAAAGTTTTATAATATATGTTTAAATATTTTTTATTTTTATCTTTCGATGATGAGATAAACGTAGTTTCTATGGCATAAATATAATTTCTAGGCAATAAATCGTATGTAGTATAATAGATACTTGTTTTTTCGAAGGTGATTTTTCAGAATGTGAAAAGAAATCATGCCTTTCTTTCATCATGGATTATATATAGAAATTTTCTCTATGTAGTCTTTATTTTTAATGACAAAATAACAAACTTCTCCTTGTCGATAAAGTAGATTATATCCGTTATATATTACAGATTTCTTCAATGCAGCAAATGTTAAAAATGAAAAATATGAAATCAATTTGTTGTAATTACAATTACAGAGATATTGTGTGTTTTTACATATTAATAGATTAAAAAAATTCAATTATCTTTGAATCAGCCCAAATTATATAAAGTCATTATAGAGAAATCCAATAAAATCTTTGTTGTTGTTTTTGTATCTAAGCAACACTATGCTGCATATCAGGTACATGTAAAGTATTCGGGCGCACAAGTATTATGGATTACGAACGCGAAAGTGACAAAAGTAATACGTTTTCTGTTGCGTTTTGAGATGTACGCAACTAATTCACAACGAGTGTGCAATAATTTATCCCAACAACAACAAGCTAAACTACAGAAGATCAAAGAGTTGACAACTATTTTAAAGGTTGATTGCAAGTATTAAAAAATTGTATTTCAAACTTACTATAATTATTTGTTCTACAGGATACAGATAAAAATTTGACTATTTGTGAAGAAATATTGTCAACTTATATAAGGAAACGTTTAAGGGTATGTGTAAATTATTTCATTCTTTTTGTAATGTGTTTCTTTTTTTTTTTTTTTACTTGATAAACATCATGAATAATAATTATATCGTTGATACAATGAATAATTTGAAGAACAAAATTGAATGATAAAATCAGACAAATATTGAGTGAAATTATTTTACTATGTAAATTATACATATTTTATTTATTTATATTAGTTGGATATCCAAAATTGTATTATTTCAGTCTTAAAATTGTAATACTCATTGTATAATTACAAATTTAAATTAAGCTAATGTATACTTGATTGGTGCAAAAACTAAAGTGATAAGAAGAATTGTGTATTATAAGATTATGAAAACATCATAAATAATTTTTTTCCAATTTACCATCCTTTGTACCATCCACCATATCCACGATATCCAATATATCCACCATATCCACCATATCCATGCCCATATGCACCATAACCATATCCACCATATCCATGACCATAATATGGCCAACCTGGATACCATCCTATGGCATACCTAAAATTTTGTATATATTTTCGTACAAAAACATTATTATTTTCATTCTTTCATATCGTTTCAAATATTCTTGTAAAAAAATGAAAATTGTGTATATTATAAATAAATATATGTATATATAAAAATAATAATTTTATTATTTTAAAATATATTAAAATTAAAATTTTTTATTATTTGTACAAACATACAGTTGTACATTTTCAGAAATTTTTTATTAAAACATCTTATTAAAAATTATTCTTATTAAAATTTCTTATTAAAATTTTTATAAATTTTATTTTATGGTCTCAAGTGATTAAAAATTAATTAAAATACACAAATTTTTAAAATAGCAGGAAATTAATATCATGCAAAATATTCAACTTCCTGTTACAAAATCCGCAAGAATCTTTGAAACAAACGGTTATTTTTTTCCGCAAAACTTGAGATTGCAAAATTTCTTGCGAAAATCTACGTACCAGGGCCAACCATAACTATAATAATTCCACGGACTCCAACCGTAACTTCTTTTCGTCACTTTTTTTTCGCCAATTTCATCCTGAGGATTCGGTTGTGCTTGATTATCGACAATTATCTTTTGTGCTACATCTATCGATTTTTCAGAGATGCTAGTTGGAGGCACAGTAGTAGCTACCCCCAAAGCAAGAATGGTCAAGAACAGCAACGACTAAAACGATTGTCTAATGTCACCAATGCACTCTTTCGAACAAATTAAGAAACACTGATACATTAATTCAATGAAACAAATTTGAAAGAAAATGAAATAGATTTTAAATTTTCTCGACATTAAATTATTCTTACCAGAAAATTCATGTTAAGCTTGACTGACAACCAACTGAGTGACTCATAGAATGAACAGTACTTTTATACCCGATACACTTTGGAATTTGTTTGTCAGGTTATATATACTCAATTCTGGATCCACATTTTCTAACGAATAAACTAGTCTCTGATACGTTTTCCATCTATGGAATCATTGCATCTCGTAACAAGTTGCATCGATAATAGATTCATCTGGATCAAGGAACGAGGAAAGTACAGAATTCCCAATAGAAATACGATCATGTAATCGAAATCTAGTTTTATTGTTTTGGTCATTGATTATGGAGATTATCATTGAGTTTCAGAAAAAAATTTTTATCAGGCTAGTTTCTTATGGAAAGTATTTATTTACAGATATCCGATTCTTATTCATTTATTTTATATATTTATTACAAATATTTGAAATAGAAGAAATATGATTCAAAGAATTCCAATTTCATTATATAATTTGTTCAAAACATTGTTCAGAAGAAGATTTTTCTTTTATTTTTTTCTTCTCGCTTATAATCAATTGAATATTTCTTTCATAAGTTGATAAAAAAAAACATATAATAAATTAGTCAAATAAATTCTAATTTTAATAATCCAAATATCAATACAATACGATATAAGAATTCGTTAATAAGAAAAGTTTCGAATAAAATTTGTCCAGATTTATTATAAAATATTTTTTAAAACTCTTATTGTTTTTAAAATCATTTTTCAAAAAATTTCCAATATTTTCTATAGGAATTCAAATTTTTACGAACAAAAATTCGTAAATAATATCTGTCACTGATTATATTTCAACAAAAAGTAGTATACTTCAACATGGATATTTCACATTAAATATTACTTCCAAATTTGTTCGATACCATAATCATCATCTCTATTCACCAAAACATGCCTTTTCCAAATACCATCTTTTCCAAAGTTAAAAGCTGTATCTTTATCTAACTAATAATCAAACGCAATCACATCTAAACAATCATCATGCGAATATCGCATGTATCCTAACAATTTCACGGTAATTTCGTCGATTGTAAAATACACTAGCTATTGTAATGTTTGCCATCCGCTATTGTTTACGAAAGAATCGAGATAATCAGACGAATATTCAAACCTGAGAATGTTCTCAAAAAATATATGCAGTGTTTCATGCGTTAAACAATTAATCTGATAAGATAATTAAGTTATTAATTTAATTAACAGATACGTTGGTCGATCGAATCGCATTTGAAGCGAATCGACTATCATTCGAGAAATCGAACGAAACAACAGGAACTCGATTACATAAAGATCTGAACCTTCTACCAGTTCCTATCGTTGAAAACTCATGTCGTTAATTTTTTCCTCTTCCTTGGTATAATAACCTCTATAAGGTGGTTTTATCACACCGGTCCAGGAAATCGAATAGCGACACCGTTTGCTCGAACTTTCTCCGAGTAGAGAATAAATGACATAATCGACATACTTAAGAAAGCAAATATCTAAACTTAGATTATTGAACAGTGATATAATCGTTATCTATTGTAATATAATACTTAATAAGTATAAAACATACTGAGTTGAGTGATTGTAAATGAGCTTAAGTTACATGCGGAATTGTTTTATTTTTTAATCGATTGATTTAGAATATTTTTATTATAATAATATTGGTTTGAATAGTTTCATTAGTTATTGCAAATTGATTTATTTTATTTTGCGAAACAAGAATTTTATACATAAGAAACAATTTTGTTTTTACTTGCTCTATAATCGATTAGGCTCTGGTCTGTATGAATATTTTTAATTAGTTAATGTTACGTAGTAATAGATAATAAAACGACTAAAGTGGAAAGAAATTGAATTTCCAGAAGAAATTGATTTCGATCGTTTTAATTTTCAAAGAAAAATATTAAGATAATTTCCTATGATTTTGTGCAAAATACCATAAATCATTTTGTTAAGAATTAGCTAGTTTAGTTGATCTTTTTAAGTATTTCTTCCAAGTATATGCGTTCTATTTGTTAAATGCAATTGCACAAATCGATGAGCATTAGCTATGCGTATAAAAGATGTAACAAAACGGTATGAATGTTAATGAGTATTGTTTGATGATTTGGAATAAATGAAAATATAATTTTAGATATTTAAAATTGTTAGAATTTTAGAATTTGAGGATTTTAGAACTTTTAGAATTTAAAAATTTTTACCCATATATATTCTCAAATCCATAATTATATCTCCTCTTTCTTTCTTTTTATTTTTTCAAGCTGAATTCGTTTAAAAATATTATATTTTCTTTTATTAAAAGAATTCGAATATTCAATTCATGTAACTATTTATAGCTACACATGTGGTTCAAATTACCTCGTCAAATTTATTGCAACTCATCCTATCTATCATCCGATTTCTGTGCAATACCTTCCTTTCCCATTACGACGTGCCGCTTCAGTTGTCTCAAATCAACGAGCGGTTCTGTGCAATTGAGGTGAAACTCGACATTTCTTTCCGATGTTATGCAAAAATCCATCCCCGCCAGCTAACGTTTCGTTTAACGACTTTTAGCTGCGACACTGGTTGTCCAGTTCTCGTGGGCTCTCGTGATACAAAAGTACTCTTCTTGAACTTAATCTTTATCGCACGATGGAACACGTCTTTCTCGTTGAAATTTAATAAATCCAAATCATAATATTTAATTGCGAATCACATCAAATTTTGATCATATTTAAAAGAAACCAATATTAAAAGAAGAATTCGTCAATAAGAAGATCGAGAAGAGTCGCAACATAACATGACTATAAGCTATAATTGAAGATGTCACGGTATCCAACCTCGCTACCTCGCTATTATTCGATGCATAAAGTGTAACTTTCCAGCAGAAAGTGGTCGAGGAACCATCGACGATGAAGCTTAGCACGTTCCACGTTCTGTACTACCTGTGCGTGTTGTTGAGCGCATTCGTTCTATCTGTGAAGAATGACTGGAAAAATCAGCCTGTTTCGAACCCATCATCAAGCACGCAAGAAACGAGGGAGGAGAAGCCTTTAGACGCAAGTAATCCGCGGGACAAACGAGCATTAGGTCTGATTCTTTCAGGCCTGGCGCAGGTTTTTGGTTATACGGTAAACCCTGTTCAAATAGCTTCGTTGCCCAATCCGGCTACCGAGTCGGACGAGGCAAGAGGTACTCAGTCATCTGGCAATGGCACTCAAGCGAATTCCACTCAGTCGAATGGGTCATCAACTACCGCAGCTCCTAGACAACGAGAGACTATCAGATTTACCGGTGTAGTGAACTTCGGCAATGGAACTGGCGTGCTGACCCAATTACAGCAATACGAGGCCTTGTTCCATGGAGGAAATGGTAATTCGACCTCTGCAACAAGCTCTGCATCATCGGCAACACAGTCACCCCAGGTAGATCCAAGAACTCCTCTGGTAGTCAAAATTCCTCTACCGATTGTCCCACAGCCGGATTTGAAGCCTATACCTCAACCACCTCTGCCTGAGATCCCTCCTCAAGATATTATGCTGTCATATCCTGCACCAATCGTCCCTGTTCGCAAGGAACAACAGATGAGAAGGAAAAACTCGACAGAGAAAGTAATAACTGTGCAAAATCAAACGATTCAAAGTGGAATGGATGTTCGATCGCAACCTCCTTCGACTACTGTTGTGGTTCAGACGGAAGATCCACGATGGAAGAAGGAGTATGAGGACAGGTTAGCGGAATTAGAACGTAAACAGGAGGAACAGGCTAAAAGATTGAGGGAACAGGAATGGTATAGAAATCGACAGAAGGAGGATAATTATAATTATGAAGAGGATGGAAAAGAATATGATGATAGAGGCAAGCAAATAGGAGAACAACATTCTGAATGTAGAAGGGAAGAGGAAGAGAGTGATAAGGGAAAGCAGTCAGAAGAGGAAGAAGATCAATCAAGAGAGAATGAAGAGAAGATTCGTGAATATTCCACGAGTCAGAAAACAAGGAAGCCTGAAGAAAGCGAGGAGGAAGAGGAAAATTATCAAAATTATAAAAATGATGATGTTTATAAAAAAGATATGCCTCAGTTAAATGAAAATTATACTAGTATACAATACAATGAACCATTGCCATTGAGTGAAGATGATGAACAAAGACGACCCGAAGAGTTGCGTAATAGTTACGGGGAACCTTTGTATAATCGTGAATTGTTTGATGATGGGTTTGTGAATTTTTTTGGAAATCAACCACTGAGAGATATTTATAACTCTCCATTTTCAAATTCAAAAGAGAAAATCTCGGAAGAGGAGAAAGATCCGCGTGAAAATCAGAAACATGAAGACAGAAGTGATGAAAGAGAAGAGGAGAATATTCCAGCGAGAACTAAATATGAAGAATATAGTTTAGAAGAAGATACGGATACCAAGAGAAAGGATAAAAACGATTTTGAACCATCAAAAAAATATTTTACTAATGTTCAAACGAATAGCAAAAATCGGCTCGAAGAACGAGGAACGATCGAAGAAATGGAATTTGGTAAATATATGCCTTTAATTGTTCCTGTCCGGTATTTAACTGTTCCTGAAGAATTAAGAAAAGCGAAAGAGAAATCATCATCGATGGAAAAATCAAAAAAAGATAATAATATATTGGAGACAGGAATAACGAAAAAGATTTTAAAATCTAAAGAATCATGGCGATCAAAAAAGGAGAATTTAAAACCAATAATAGGTCTTCCGGAAAAGCCAAGACAGCTTCACGAAGGCGAACAGAAAGATCTACAAATGTGGCCACCACCATTCGATTTTATTCTAGATAGTACGATTCATACGAATGTTGTTCAAGCAAAATTTAATGATAGTATAGAAATTCCTAATATTCATCAAAAATCTTTTAGCAAAAAGAAGGAAGAAAGACAACAGAGAAACAGAATTTTTAATAATTCAACTCAAAAACCTGAAGATATTTATTATCAAAGATTTAAAAATGATCATAAACATAAAATTGTTTCTGAGAAACGATTGAATAAACCAATAAATGCTGAAAGATCGAATCGTACACATTTTAAAATTGAAGTAAAAGAAGTAAAGAAATTTGAACAAAATGACCATGGAAAAGAATTACCACAATTTCACGAACATTATAAATATATTTCCAATAATAATTATAGAAATACAGAACGACCAAATATCGATGTACAATATTCTTCGAGACAGCAAATTCCAAATTCATTGCATTTTAAAAAATTTGAATCTTTGAAGCATAATATTGAAAATAATGAGCCTATTATAGAGGATAAAAACAGAATAAATGATAAAAATCAAATAATGCAAGGCAATGTTCAACAAAAGTCTGATTCATCAATCATTTTTAACCCTAGAGAAAATTATAATTTCTTTGATTTTAATGAAAATGTACATGGTTTTAATCATGGAAGAGAAAACGACAGATTGTCTGAACTTTTTGAAAGTAACAAAAGAATTGAGAATAAAAGAGCAATTGGCTTGACTATACCGCAACAAGACGTGTATCATTATGACGAAAGTTTGACGAAATTTTTCAATGAACCGGAAAGCAAAAGTGTGAAAGTTAGAGGAAATAATTATTCGAATGGTGCTATTGCTATGAAAATGCACCAAGGTCCCAGCGAATCGATAAGTTATATCAGTTATCCTAGTATTTTGTAATAATTTGCCTTTTTTAAATTTATGCAATATGGTTTATTTCTAATTAAAATCAATAATTATTTGAATTTATGGATTTCGATCATCATTTTATAAAATTCTTTTATGAAATTATATTTAATATATATTTTCTAAAATATTTTATAGAAAAAAATATGAATACTTAGGATTTAATCATATTTCGTGCCTTATAATCTGGATAAAAAAATTAAAATGATATTTTTATCATAAAATTAATAAAGGAAGATATGAAATATCGAAAAGATGGAAATTTTAATTGAATATTCGAATTAATTATTAAAGTATAAATAAGTATAAAAAAATATATTGAATTTTTCTTAAAAAAAATGATATAAATTAAATAATATATAAAAAATTATGAATAAATTAAACATTGAATTTTAATGAACACAAAATGAAAATAAAAATTTGTCTTTATAAAATGAAAATAATTAATTTTATTAATATGAAATCTAATATATTTTTTTTTAATATGCTTTTCTATTTATAATCTACAATATACAGTAATAATGAAAATATTTTATAACATGATGTATGTTACAGGATAAGCGAGAAGAAATGCAAAGGAATAAAGATTTGGAAAACAAAATGACAGAAATTTTAGAAAATTTGAAGACCCGTCTATTGGTCGAATAATATTTATTATTACAATGTATTCTTATACATTTCTTTCCTTATTTTTGTAAAAATTATTGAATTTATTTAATGAATATTATGCGGATATCTTGTTTTAAATTATTAATAAAAGAATGGATTGCTGTATAACAGGTGCAAAATTCAAAGATATATGTTTTACTTACCAATTCCTTTTTTTCTGAATTTGTGCTTCTTTATCATCCCATATCATCCTCTGTGAAATTATTTATTTATTTATATATATAAATAATTTAAATGTGTAATTTATATGTGACAAAATAAATAAGTAATAATTTAATGTTTATTTTGCAATATTTTGAAATATTATTTTATTGCATTTAAAAATTGAACATTCTTTTTTTACTAATATCTTTGAAAAAATTTTTCGAGAATAAGTGTAATTGTACAATAATTATGATTCGAATATTGATTATTGTCAAAATAATTAGTTATTTCACCACTAGAGTGCAGATGTATCGTGATGTTAGTGTTATTAGAGATGTGTTTATATTTATAAAAAAATAATTTATGAAATATATAATGTGAAATAGCATTAACATTATAGATTATAATATTTTTTATAAAATTCAATAATTATAATTTTATAAAAATGGAAGAATTTTTACGAAACATAGGTGTAGGAGTAAGACCTATTAATGATCCATTTTTTGAGGATTCATATAATGCTTGTAAAATATTTCAACGAAAAGGTGTTACTGTTGAAGATGATGAGGAATTATGTCATGAAGTGTAATTAAAAATTTGTTAAATATATTCTTTATTGTTCTTTCTAACCTTAGAATATGTATAACCTAAACTAACCTTATAAATATATAAGTAGAATTATAGAATGTAAGAATTAAAAAGAAAAATTGTAGAATTAAAAAGTAATTAATTCTAATGAAATGATTTATTAATTTCAGAATAAGAGAATTCCCTTGTTACGTTACTGGTTGTAAAGCTATATTTCATACATTGATTGATTTTGAAATGCACTATAATAGCAATCATCGATATGTCTGTGTAGAATGTAAAAAATCTTTGCCAAATCCTAGATTATTAGATATTCATATTCAAGAAACACATGATAGTTTCTTTCAAGTTTTATCCATGAAGAAACCAATGGTAATTATAAATGTGATTATACATTATTTATATCAAAATATTTAAAAATGTTTATATTTTTTCAGTATCAATGTTATGTTTCGGAGTGTGATTTGAAATTTAATAATTCACATGAAAGAAAAGATCATTGTGTCAATGTACATAAATTTCCTAAGAATTTTAGATTTGATAATACTTCACATTGTATAAAAGATAAATCAAAAGATAGAATGGATATTGATGAACCTGAATATGAAAAGAAGGAACGAAAATCTAAAAAAATACAATTAAATAAAAATCAAAAGACTAAAATGTTTGCAACTGCAGCAAAGAGTATGCCACCAACAAATCCTAGTATTAATTCATTAAATTCTTCAAATATTATTGCAGGGGTAAACTCATTACATTTTATTCCTAGACAAGTTCAAAAATCATATACAAAAGCACTTACTAAAAATCAAACTAATGAAAAAAATGTATTAGAAACAGCTAACATGTTGGATTTGGCTGATTCATTACCAGCTTCATAATATTTTAGTATATATATATATATTATGTATATACATATATACATAAATATTTTATAATAATTAATATTTTTTTAATATTCTTTTATTAAAATATATAAATATATTTTAAATATCACAACAATCTTTGTATATACAATCAAACATACAAATAATTTCTATTTTATCATTTATTTACATATTTACAACTTATATTATAATATAGAATTATGTACATTAATTCTAAGTTTAGTCCTGAGTTGTATTAAAGATTTTTATAGAGTACGTATAAAATTTATTTAAAATTTTTAAATTTTAAGTACTGCTAGTCAGTGTTTAATAATATACAATTGTCAAATACAATAATGTTTGTTACTTTATAAACACTTAATAATAATATCGAATGGTACAAAAAATTCAAAACTTTTAAATCTTAATGGTATATCAGAAAAACATTTTTTTATATAATATACATATGTGTGTATGTATATATATACACACACGCGCACATATATATATATATACATATACACACACACACACAACACACACACACATATGTATATTATGTAAAAAAAAGTATATATATGGTGTTGATATTTTGTAAAAACCAAAAAATTACAAAAAGTATAACATACTATATAATACAAATATTTTGTACTTTTAATAAAAGTCAATTTTCAAAATTAGCATTTTAAGAACTTAAGTCTTAAATACTAATAAAATATTAATAATCTAAACTGTATAATTAAATTTAAATATAAAATATATCTTAAACTTACGTTGAATAAACCATACATCTAAGTTTAGCTGTTTCGTTCCTAAGGGCAACAAGTTCATATTTAAGTTTAATATTTTCCTGCTCTAAGAAAGCTGCTCTGATAGCAATTTCGTCCTCTTTTGCTCTTCGAGCATCCCTAGAGCGTTTCGCTGCCTCGTTATTTCTTCTTCTTCTTTCCCAGTAAGCTGCATCTTTTTCATCTACCGTACTCGTTGGTAATCCAGGACTCTTTGTAACTCTTCGCATTTTCACATTAGTTCCTTCATTTGATTTTTTGACAGATTCCAACATTCGTTTCCGAAATTCGGAATAAGCCTCATTAGAATTTTGATCATATATCATTTCGACTGTTCCTACGGTAAGTGATAGCGGATCTTTTGGATAAGCTTTAAATGGTCTTGCTGCTTTTTTGCTTTCCTTATCTGATGTGTTGGATAATCCAATTTCACTGGAACAAGTCGTCGAAGTTGTCAACGATAAAGCAGAAGTATTACTTATATCTGTCTGTTTAACTGTACCACCGTTTTGATTAAGAAATGTCGATAACATAGTTGGAATTGGAATATTCGTTGATAAATTGGAAAAATCACTGTTTTGACTTTTGTTATTATTCTCTGACATGTCTGTACGATCGTAAATTAGTTCATATTTGATTTTTGTCGGAGAATTAGATTCTGAAGGTGGTGTTACCATAAATGTTCGAACTTCGAAAGGACTATTTCTTTCGGTTTCGGATTCCGAAATATGATTAGTTTGATCTTGTTTCGTACTACTCGCGGGCGAATTTAAATATGAATCGAGTGAATTTGGTTGGCTTGAAGTCGAAGTTCTTCGTTTCTTAAAAGAAAGATCCAGAATTGCATCGGCAAAAAATGCTTCAGTATTCAATTCTTCAGAATTAAATTCCGTTTTTATGTTGTTCATTGACGGCATGGAGAAAGATTCCATTTTTAAATATCTAAGACAGAGAAATATGAGTAAATTAAAATATTATTTTAATCAAATCATTTTTAAAATAAAGCGGTATAAATATTTTTAAATTTGTTCAATCTCTGAGATATTAATTATATTATTATTCATATCGATCGTGATGAATTAGCAAATAAATAAAAATTCACGTTTATATATAATAACGATAGTTTAAAATTGTCAAAACGAAAACGAAACCAACGATAAATGAATCTACACTTTCTTGAAAAATAACTTATTACACTAATTAAAACAACGTACAATTATTGAATAAATAACACTGAGTTCTACCGTGCTTGATGTCGTATCATTCAATAAAAATTACACAGAAACCGTTTTACTGCAGGTAATCGAATAGACATTAACGTCCATTAATTACGCAAGTTTGAAATTCTTTTATGTTTATCGAGTAACTATCGTGGTAAACGACTAATGTCTTACCTAATGATTAATCCAAGGTTATACACTGGTCACTGATATCACAATACACTGTCTGTAGTTTAAAAGCGTACGCGTTTTAGGAAGATTTTCGAAAGATAACTGTTTGAAAGAAAATCGGTTTTTAACGAACATACACAGTCGGTTTTTCGAAAACGTCTCTGTAGTATGAATCGTCAAAATCGTTTAGAACTAGAGAGGGTGTAGTTTCGCTTATATAGTAGTGGACACAACCCTTGTAAGGTTCAAAGGGAGGAGACTTCCTTAGAAAATGGTGGGGAGAGGCCGATCCTGATGACCGTGGGTATCGAACTGGCACGCGTTCCAGTACCACTTCCTATTCCCAAAATGTTTATAGGGCACACGCTCACGTGAATATACACAAACGCAATCATGAACACGGGAAAATTAGTAGTATTGAGTATTTGTGATCGCGCAATTGGAATAACAATTTCGTCAGAAATCGTATCAGTGAAGGTTGTTTGATAAAGGTAGTAGAATATAATACATACGTATATACATATTTATAATAATTTTAAAATAGAAATTAAATTGAATAATTTCGATTAATTGTTGAAATGTATATTTCACTTATTTAAAATACATATATCTATAAAAAACTGATATTCTATTCATTAAAGAAAATAAAAGGATTGAATTTTAAAATTCAACTCGAAAAAGATAATTCAATTTTCCTTCGGTAGATCTTTCCTTAGTTTTATTTATCATTTTGATATGCCAACCGGTACGCGATTCGAAAGACAAAAAATTATGATATATTGTAGCCAATGATGATCTTACCACTATACTTACCTGTTGTGGCATCCTGAGGCGAAACAAATTGCAGCATTTTCTTGACCTCGTATAACAATCGAATCCCGCTAAATTAATCCTTGCAATCGTAGTTATCATTTGTTTCAGGATTGTCGAAAAATCCCGATTGTTACCAGTTGGCATACTAAAATCCTTTTTCTTAAATCCTGCAAAGCCAGTGGCAATTGCCCTGTCAAAGGATTGTGCGTTTTGCGACCCCCCACTGCGGTGCAATACTAATAGTAGAGACGTAGTGCATAAAATTACTCTGCATAACCCTTTCCTACAATCCTTATTTTCACAAAGTAGAATTTTACAAAGTTAAAAGGTTCTGTGTCGCAATGATTTACGATGTTAAACTATAAAAGGAAATCGCGAAATTTGCTCATAAATTAACCGGCGAAAGCGTTGCGGCCAAGTGAAATTTTTAGGGCAAAACGAAAGTTATTTGTAACCTTTGAACTTTGACATTGATCAATTTGATGTATGATCTCTTTTTGATGGTTCCCTTTCTTTCGTTCGCGCTCGTTAGG